AGTCTCTGAGACAAGCTGGACTGCTTAGGAGAGGCTCAGATCAAACGTCCTGGAAGAAACCGAGACCAACTGTGGTGGTCTGAAGGGAATGGCTCTATAGACTCATATATTTAAATGCTTAGTCATGAGGGAGAGGCATTGCTTGAGAAGGATTAAGAGGTGTGGCCTTAGTTGTAGAAGGTGTGTCTTTGTTGGAGGAAATGTGTCTCTGGGGCTGGGCTTAGAAGTTTCGAAGGTCAGACCCAGTCTTTCTGCTGTGGATCAGGATGTCGCTCTCAGCTGTTGCTCCAGCACCATGCCTGCTTGTGCTGCGCTTCCCACAATGATGACAATGGACTAAGCCTCTGAAACTGTAAGCCAGCCCCCAATTAAATGTTTTCCTTTATATGAGTTGCCTTGGTCATGGTGTCTCTTCACAGCTGCCTTGGTCATGGTGTCTCTTCACAGCGATAGAATACCAGCCAAGCTATCCACTGAGTCACCAGAAAGGACACTCTCCAACCTGCTGAGCCACCTACAGGCTGTGAAGTGAACTCCAGGTTTCCAGCTTTTGTGAGCTGTCACCCATGCTGGAGTGGGCTTCGGTGATGCAGCTGCCTTTGAGTAATTTGTGTTTCTGTAGTAACCCCTCATCCATATTCCTGACTCACCACAGTCAAACTCATTGATTCACCAAGCTGGGCTTTGATCTGTCCTCAGTTCCCTATTTGGGGTGTGTAGCTGTTTGTCCACAGCTCCCTAGGAATAGTGTCACACAATTAAGTGCAGGCTCATCTTTGGTTACTCAGCAAGTCCTCCCTGCTTTAAAAAAAAATACATGAATAAAGTACCATGCCTTTAATCCCAGTATGTGGGAAGCAGAGACAGGCAGATATCTAAGTTTGAGCCTAGCCTGGTCTGCAGAGCCAGTTCCAGTACAGGCAGGGCTCCACAGAGAAACAATCTCTTAAAAAAACTAAAACAAAATGAAACAAAAAAAAAAAACATTGACAGTTTTCCTTCTACTGCTGGTCAGCTCTGTCCCACTAGCAGCCCCAAAATAACCACACAGAGACCTATTATTAATTACAAATGTTCAACCAATAGCTTAGGCTTATTACTAGCTAACTCATATTTTAAATTAACCCATACTTCTTATCTATGCTCTGCCACATGGCTCTGTACCTTTTCTCAGTACGACATGCTCATCTTGCTCCTCTCTGCATTTTTCAAAACTCTGTGTCTCCTCCCCTTCTTCTTTGAGTTTTCTTTTTGTCTCAAGTCCTGCTTAACCTCTACCTGTCTAGGTATTGGCCAGAACTTGGATTTCTAGGAACCATATATGGGAGTTGTAGTTGGCAGTGTCCTGGGAAAGCAGAGAAAGCTGGGCACCTCTGAGGAAAGCCCACAGGATACCAGGTGTGATGGAACATGCTTGTGAACCCAGCACTTAGGCCACAGAGCTAAGGGAGTCGGCCTGTCACATGAAATGGCTGTTCAGGTTTGTGACAAGTGTCCTTCGACCTTCCCCAGGATGGACTGCCAAAATTCCTTCTCTGTTGGTTGTTTTATGTCAGTCTGACACCAGCTAGAGTCCTTTGGAAGAGGGACTCTCAGTTGAGAAAACACCTCCATCAATAGACCCATAGGCAATCTATAATGTATTTTCTCAATTAATAATTAGTGTGGGAGTGCCCAGCCCACTGTGGGTGGTGCTACCCCTCGGCTGGTGGTCCTGGGTGGTATAATTAAGCCTACTGAGCAAGCTATGGGAAAAAGCCAATAAGCAACATTCCTCCATGGTCTCTGCTTCAGCTCCTGCCTCAAGGTTCCTGCCTTGAGTTCCAGGCCTGACCTCCCTGAATGATGGACAGTTTCCTGGAAATGTGAAATGAAATAGCCCCCCCCCCCAGTTGCTTCTAGTCATGGTGTTTTAGCATATCAATAAAAACCCTAAGTAAGACACGCCAATTCAGAGACGTATCAACCCCCCCAGCTCCCCACACACCATTCTACGGCAGTCTAGGTTAACAGCACCACAGCACAGAACATGAGGTATGAACAGGAATAGAAGCAGGTTCTTGGATAAGGAGACTGCCTGCCCTGCCCTACATCCTCATGGAAACCCAAGGATCCTGGGCAGCCAGAGGCTAGCAAGGTTCCTGGTCACATGGGAAGGATCCGTCTTTGGGAGACTAAGCAGAGGAATGAGTTGACTCAGGCAGGCAGTACTCCAGACACTTGCTCTCACTGGATCTGGAGGGCGCTTCTGAAGCCTCGGAATCCTGGGGGACTCTGGTCATGTAGGCAGTGGAAGGAAGAGGTGGCTGGGGAAAGGAGGGGGACGAGGGATAGGACATGTGACATGTGGAATATCCCGGGAACACAGGTGTGATGGCCAGCGCTCCGGCTTCATTTCGGATGGACTGTGAAAACGGGCTGCTCTAGGATTCGTCAAGGAACTTTGAAAACCATCTGATTCAAGAGACAGGGTCTTGTGATGGAGCCCAGGCTGGCTCCGAACTCTGGATCCTCCTGCCTCCTCTCCCGAGGGCTGGGATTTACAGGTCTGTGCCGTAATGTTTCATTTCTACTCCTCCTCCCCCCAAGGCATCTGGAGACCCCAACCCAGGCAGCCTCTCTGACCCCATCTAGTTATACCTCTGCATCTGTAACACCTGTCTCTGTGGCCCTGGGCTCTTGACTGAACCAGCACTGACGGGCACAGAAGGTTCACTCCCTGTCACCCTTGCTATGCGGGGGCTACTGCTTTGCCGGAAGAGCTCCTGGCTTCTCTGTCACATTACCACAGTTGATCCGGTTCCTAGACTATGAAAGAAATGGTGCTGTGTTTCAGGTTTGCCCAATTACGGCAGCTAGGGTGCAGCCTAACACAATGGTGGCATCTAATTTTGTGTCTCTGAGGTAAGATTGGAAGCTGCTTTGGGAACTTGACTTGAATCACATTCACCCAATGCCAGGGAAAGACTCCCGGAACCGTGGAATCAGAAGCATGAGGCTGAGGGTTTCCTTTGGAAATTCCATGAGCCTAAAAGCGAGGTTTTGCTGTAGGTGACACAGTACCATCAGAGAGGAAGGCATGAGGGGACCATCAGAAAACAAGAGACTGTTCTGCTCCCCCGGGCTTGCTTGCCAATAAGCTTCCATTCTGCAGTAAGTCTAGATCACCATGGCTATTAATGGAACATCGTTAACACAGAGCAATGCTCAGCAGCGAGCCACAGCACAGCCTTCCTTCCTTCTCCTGTGCTACAGTTTGAATCTGAAATGTCCCCTGGGCTCCTGTTCGGAATGCTCAGCCTCCAGCCAGCTGAGGACTGTTTTGAAGGCTATGGGGCTTTAGAAGCTTGGGCCTGACTGGCATTAAAGTTACTAAGGGGAGCTCTTTGGAAGCTTTACACCTTAGCCCTACCCTACTTCCCATCCCGTACTCTCCCACCCCCACCCCTGCACACACACACACACACACACACACACACACACACACACACACCTGATTCCTGCTTCCTGTCCTGAGGGCAGTGAGAGACTGGGACGTACCTCAGTGGTAGAGCCCCTGCCTAGAATCCCCCAGTGAGGGGCTGGGGTGTGGCTCAGTGGTAGAGCCCCTGCCTAGAATCCCCCAGTGAGGGGCTGGGGTGTGGCTCAGTGGCAGAGCCCCTGCCTAGATTACATTAGTGAAGGACTGAGGGTATGGCAAACATTCAAATGGCCTAGAACCCATCTCTAATACGAGAGAGGGGGGGGACAAAAGAGAGGGCAACCTGTTTTTTGGCTTTTGGTGTTTGGGGACAGGGTTTCTCTGTGTAATAGCTCTTGTAGAGCAGGCTGGCCTCGAACTCACAGAGATCCGCACTTCTCGGCCTCGCTAGTGCTGGGATTAAGGATGTGCACCACCACCACCTGGCTCACATGTATGTTTTTTAGGACTTTTTAAAAAATGTGTGTAAGTGTTTTGTCTGCATATAGGTATATAAAACATGTGTGTTCAGTGTCCATGGAGGTCAGAAGAGGGTGTCAGATCTCCTGGAACTGGAGTTACAGCCAGTGTGAGTCACCATTTAAGCGCTGGGAATTGAACTCAGGTCCTCTACAAGAGCAGTCGATGCTCTTATCCACTGATCCCTCCATTCCTCTGAAGGACTTGCTAGGATCTTCTAACTTGAAGCTGACTAAGCAGGTCAGAAGAGAGGAAACAGAAAACAAGGGGTGGGGGAGAAGAGGAGGAGGAAGGGATATAGAGAGCCACTCTTCTGAGAGTGACCACAGGGACACATGACCTTGAGTGAGCCTCACTGTCTGTCCTCTGTAGCCCAGGCTGGCCTTGAGTCTATCTTCCTGCCTCAGGCCTGCAGAGCAGCTGAGGTTTCAGGCCTGTAGTACCACAGACAGCTCTCATCCCCTCAGAGGCTGTCTAATCGGCCAGAGGGAAGGAACCACCAGGGCCTCACCAATCACCCCCGACATCCTTTGCTGTTAGAATTCCCAGGCTCGCTTGCAGAAGGGAAAGGAAAGTTCATAAAATTTGATCTGACCCAGAGTTCCCAGTGCGGAGACTTGGACTGCCGCCCATAGCTGCCTGGCTCTCTGTCCACCACAATGAGACACAAGCTAGGAAAAGCCCATCTGTCTCAGCTTTGAGGCCAAAGGAAACTTGGGGTGGACAACGGGAGAACGCAAGGAAGTCAGTAGACTGAAGAATCAGGGAGAGCGGAGAGCCTCGTTCTGAGAATAAGATTCATCCACAGAAGATACCGGTCAGAAAACAGAGAGGACCCGATGGGGGTGGGGGTGGTGGCGGCGGGGATGTGGTGAGGGGAGAGCCAGGAAGTAGGGTCAGAAAAATCTGTGGAAGTCAGAATAGATCAGATCTCCCGGGAGAGAGCAGAGCAGCAGGCCCCCCTGCTTTGGGTTTGAGAGGAAATACTGCTCAATTACCGACCTGCCTCCTTCTCTGGCCATGTGACCCATGTTGGTGTAACAGTTTCCCACCAACCAGGTTCCTTATACTTTTTAACTCCCCCGCCCTTTTCTGTAGGGCTGCAGCGATTGCTAAAACTCTCTTGGCCTCTGGCGCCAGAAACCCCATGAGGAGCCAGCCCTCTATCAGAAGCCAGGCAAGGCAAGCCAGCTTAGGGTGTGCGCTCAGGGGCCAGACGCTGGGGCTTGCATTTGAGGAGCAAGTGTGGGGTGAGGAAGAGGCTGGAGGACGTCTGTTGGAACAAAAAAGTAATCACCAGTCTCAGACGATGGGGAGGGGGGCAGGCGGGGTGAGGAACCTCGGACCTGGGAATGAAGAAGGAATTGGGAAGGGCCTATGAGTTAGCAAGGGTTACCAACCAAGTGGGAACAGAGCCACCTGTGTCGAGGTGGCGTCCAGCAGGACACCAGCGGACACACCAGGCTCAGGGGCCACCTGGGCTCGCTGGGCTCCCATGAATGTGTGTCTAAAATTTGGGGGAACAGGTCACAGAGCAACGTGCTGTCTCAGTCTTCCTCCCTGGCTACAGTAGCTCCCCCTTTTTAGTAGGATCCACAGCACTGGACCAGAGGAGAACCAGGTGAAAGAGACCCTGGAGTGGTCCCAAGGAGGTAAGGTGCTGGGAGGCGGGGCAGAGGGCTGGGCACCTGGAGCTGAGGGCAGCCAGTCCAGGCTTGGCAGAGCATACCTTCTGGAAGTTTCTTGTTCCCCCACCTTCCTGTCCTTCCCCAGTTTCTGTGCATGTCTTCTTCCACCAGGTTTTGCCACCAGGCTTTGGCTCCCAGCCACAGCCAGCTGTGAGGAAGGGATCTGACCACGGTCACTTCCTATTATCTGTGAAGCCAAATAGGAAAAGGGCCCGGGGAAAGCAGAGGGGGAATTCCCGTGGCAAGTCAAGTTGGTCTCCCCCAGAGACGCAGGATGGCAAACGTAATAACTGCAGCTTAATATCCCGCCCAAGGCTAAGTCAATAATTGCTCTGGGCAGTTCTGGCAGGTGGCTCAGGCAAGTGGTGGTGAGGAGCAGACCGCTTTGGCCTGGGAACCAGGGAGGATGTGAACAGCCTGAACCAGAGGAAAAGAGGGTCTGCAGGCTGTGAGTGAAGGGGCGGCGAGTTCCTGATCCCTTTTCCATCTTTCAGAATGATCCCAGACTGGCACAGCTCCTTGATCCTCACGGCCTACATCCTCATCTTCCTCACTGGGCTCCCTGCCAACCTGCTGGCCCTTAGGGCCTTCGTGAATCGGGTCCGCCAGCCCCAGCCTGCTCCCGTGCACATCCTCCTGCTGAATCTGACCCTGGCGGACTTGCTCCTTTTGCTGCTACTACCCTTCCGGATCGTAGAAGCAGCGTCTAACTTTCGCTGGTACCTGCCGAAGATCGTGTGCGCGCTCACGGGCTTCGGCTTCTACAGCAGCATCTACTGCAGCACGTGGCTGCTGGCGGGCATCAGCATGGAACGCTACCTGGGAGTGGCCTTCCCCGTGCAGTACAAGCTATCCCGCCGGCCCCTGTACGGAGTGATCGCCGCTCTGGTGGCCTGGATCATGTCCTTCGGCCACTGCACCATCGTCATCATCGTTCAGTACCTGAACTCAACAGAGCCTGTGGGCACTGAGAACCAAATAACCTGCTATGAGAACTTCACCCAAGAGCAGCTGGATGTGGTGCTGCCTGTGAGGCTGGAGCTGTGCCTGGTCCTCTTCTTCGTCCCCATGGCAGTCACCATCTTCTGCTACTGGCGCTTCGTGTGGATCATGCTCACGCAGCCCCATGTAGGGGCTCAGAGGAGACGCAGAGCGGTCGGCCTGGCTGTGGTGACGCTTCTTAATTTTCTGCTGTGCTTCGGACCTTACAACGTGTCCCACTTGGTGGGGTTCTTCCTGTGGCAGAGCCCTCCGTGGCGAGTGGAGGCTGTGGTATTCAGCTCCCTCAACGCCAGCCTGGACCCGCTGCTCTTCTATTTTTCTTCCTCCGTGGTGCGCAGGGCTTTCGGGAAAAGTTTGCTAGTGTTCCGCAAACCCGGCTCCTCGGTGCTGGGCAGAGGAGCCAAAGAGACAGTGGAGGGGACCAGGATGGACAGGGGTGGGAGTCAAACAGAGGGGGTGCCGAGCTCCGATTTCATCACTGAGTAGAGAGTCCCCCGAACCTTCCCCAGTCTCTGGTCACCCAGAAGTTGGGCTGGCTAGCAGAGTGCCTGGAACTTGGTGAAAGATAAAAAATAAAAAAGAAAGACATTCCCCAACCACGGTCCACTACTCTCTCAGCTTGGCATAACTGCTTGTCTGGATTTTCCTGCTACAGGATACAAGAAGAAATGGCTACAGCCCTAAAATAAGTGGGGCCAGGGCCTCAGAAGCGGGGTGTCTAATAGGAGGGCATTTTGAAAAGTAATCTTCCTTCAAGCTTGGAAACGCCACTCAGAGACAGTGGTCTGGCTGCTGATGCTGCAAAGAAGCCATTGAAAAACGATCGGGGGAAACCTGTGGGAAGAAAAGGAAAGCCCCGCCACGGGAGGGACTGGCGGGGAGGACAGGGGCCGCATCTCTGGTGAGCTTCGCCTCTCTACATCCCTTTGAGCTGTCCCTTTGTAAGTGTGCTCTGTTGATTTTCGCGTTTTGGCCTTGCTCCACTGTTACACTGGGGTCTGGGTTGCACGTCTGTCCCCAGTGTCCTCCCACCCAGGCTAGGGTGTGTCTTGGTACTGACGTAGACACTGACCTGCACAGGAGGACAGAAAACCCAGTCTGGTTTGGCAGGTTGAAAATAAAGATGATGGCCACCGCCTAACGCATAGCTTTCAGCGCTGGTCTCTATAACCCAGGGAAAGGGGGATGGCGAACCTAGTACCACAGCAGAGGGAGAAGGGATGCAGCGCCCCCCCCAACACTTTCAAATGATGGCATTCTGAGGGCAAAGGGAGACAGGAGGCTGATGGGATCCTGTTTAGCCCAATGGCTGGGGAGGTTGGACTTCCTCCTGGATGTGGGTGGGTCCCACCTGGGGCTGCTGATCCCTCAGCGAATTGAGAATGCATTCTGTCCTCCTCAGAACCCCGTTGTTCTCTTGTATCAAGCCCCTCCCCCCTGCCCTCGGACTCCAGATCACCGCAGGCCTTTGCCTGCCCTGTGCCCTCGGTCCCTTCCTGATCCTTCCTGCCTAACTCCTTTCTCCACCAGGACCCCAGTGCGATTAGCATTCCACATGCCCAGAGTTGAAGAGGCTGAGACTGGAGGATTGTGAGTTTGGGGCTAGTCTGGACTACAGAGTTAGACCCTGTCTTTCAAAAGCAAGAAACAAACTTTAAAACACTAGAAAAAAAAATGGTTTTGAGACAAGGTCTCCTACAGGTGGCTGGGGCTGGCTTTGTACACCTCATGTACTGAGAAGGACCTGAACTCCTTGTCCTCCTGTCGCCCCCCCCCCCCGCCTTCCCCCAGAGTGTAGAATACAGGTACGTACCACCTTGACTCTCCTAGAAATAAGATATTAAACCCAACAGCCAATGAAATTGGTTCAGTGGGTAAAAGTGCTTGCTGCACAATCTCAAGGACCTGATTGTGATTCTCGGAACCCACAAAAAGTAGGATGTGGTAGCGTGTAGCCGTATTCCCTGCAATGGAGGTGGAGATAGGAGCCGGCTAGCCTGGGCTACAAAGCATGGCAGAAACAAGAGAGCTCTACCTGACCTGAACAAGGTGGAAGGAGACTCCAAAGTTGTTCCCCAACCTCCATGTTCATGCTTCGTGGCACAAGTGCACACACACACACACACACACATGCATACATATACATGCACACATGCACACCACAATAAATAAATTAAAATAATTATTTCTATTTGAGACAGGATCTCGCTGTGTAGCCTTGGCTAGTCATGAGCTCGCTATGTAGACCAGGCTGACACACACACACACACACATGCATACATATACATGCACACATGCACACCACAATAAATAAATTAAAATAATTATTTCTATTTGAGACAGGATCTCGCTGTGTAGCCTTGGCTAGTCATGAGCTCGCTATGTAGACCAGGCTGGCCTTGAGTTTACAGAAATACACTTGAGGGCTGCAATTAAATCATGACTGGTTAAAAATGAAAATAATTTAAAAGCTAACTGTAGGGGGATGTGGCAGGAGAGAAAACTTGGGTAGAGTTCCGGCTTACCATGACACTGTGATCCAGTGCAGCTTGCAATTGAGCTCATCTGGGAGCTGTCAGATTGCCCAGTGGGTAATGGCACTTGTTACCACAGCTGATGACCTGAGCTGGATCCCCAGAACCCACAGGGTGGATGGGAAGAATCCACTCCTGCAGGTTGTTTCCTAACCTCTGCGTGTGTGTACCTTGGAGTGTGTGTACGCAGTCAAGTGCACACGAAAGCATACAAAATAAATAAATCAGTATTAAATAATTCTGAAGCTCCTTTGATTGAGATAGCATTTGAACTTTCTCTTGGCCCACTTAGGGTTGATTGGTAGCCTGCTTAGAACGGAGCCATACAACTGTAAACACACTAACTCAGGGATTCAAGTGCTGGGAAATCAGACTTAAAACCATACAACAAGGCTCAGGCCACAGTTTAGTGGGTAAATAGCACCATCTGCAAAAGCACGAGATTTGCCTCCCGAGGACGCACATGAAAAGGCCAGCTGTGTGAGACACATCCATAATCCTAGCTCTAGCTCTCCCTTGGTAAGATGCCCGGCAGAGATCGCCTGAGAGGAGCAGCTGCCTGGACCAGGCGGAAGGTGAGCACGGACTCCTGAAGGTTGTCCTCTGACTGGCAGTGCACTTTGGCACACATCTGTCCTTCCTCCTAAAGTCTCAAAGACAAATGGAGGCGCAGTCCTGCCCGAGTTCTCTCTGGGGAGCCAACAAGTTTATTGGGCTTCTTTGCAGAGCATAGGTGAGGGGTCACCTACAGGGGTGTGGGTGCTGCTCTCCTCAACAGGCTGCCCGAGAAGCCTTTACCCAGTAGTCACATGGATGGAGACTCCATCCCCTCAGCGCCACAAAGCCTAGCCCCCCATAAGGCCTCACACAGTTAAGGCACAGTTGCAGGCAGCAGGTGACAGGGATAGGCTGGATGCTCAGGTGAGGGTCAAGGGACACCCTCCCAACCCCCCATGAAGGTCAAGAAGGCCAGCTGGCCTGATCCTTTTGCAAGGGCGTGCAGCTGACTCCTTAAGGTGGGGATTGCTTGCCTCAGGTTTGTCTCTCACGGCACCCGTTTCGCCACGCACCGTGTCAATGTGTAAAATCTAATGGACAGAAGGATAAAAGTAAATAACAGCGAAAGCTCATGATGATCGTGACTGGCATCCACTGCCAGGCACTATGACAGAGAAAGAGCTGGAGACGGTTAGGTAACGTCCCAAGACCAGTAGATCAAGATTTCAAAACCTAGGCCCCACTCTCCGATGCCTGCCCTTTGCACAGAGGGAAATAGAGCACTCTAGCTATTTGGCCACGTGGCTGGGACACGATAAGACCTGTTTTATAGAAGATGACATTCAGTGTGGCCCCACAAGGGAAGAGCAAAGAGCATAACAAGAAGTCATGTTTCCAGCAGCTGGGGATGTTCAAACACATTAGCTGCTCCAGCAAGACAGTCACTCCTAGTTTCCACGAATGTTGGAGGAAGAGACAGCAAACACGCACGCACACACACACACACACACACACACACACACACACACACACGAGGACATTGAGTAAGCAACTTCTGATAAGCGCTGGGCCGACTTACGGCTGGATCTACAACCCTGCTGTCCCTGGGTCTTCAGCAGCCACATTCACATCTTGCTAACTGTGTGTGAGCTGCTTTTCTGTTGCTATGACAAAACACCAGACAAAAGCAACTTAAGAGCGGCTGGAGAGGAGATGGCTCAGTGGTTAAGAGCACTGACTGCTCTTCCAGAGGACCCAGGTTCAATTCCCAGCACCCACATGGCAACTCACAACTGTAACTGTAACTCCAGTTCCAGGGGATCTGGCACTCTCACACAGACATAAATGCAGGCAAAATATCAATGCACAGAAAATAAGAAATTAAAAAGCAGCTTAAGAAATGAAGGAAGCCTTGGGAGACAGCTCAGCGATGAGAACTCTTGCTGTGCAAGCATGGGGACCTGAGTTTGAATCCCCAGCAGAAGCACAAGATTCCAGGCATGGCTGAGTGTGCTTGTAACCCAGCATGGAGGAACAGAGACAAGCAGAGCCTGAGAGCTCACTGGCCGTGCAGCCTAACCAAAATGGTGAGCTTCCAGTTCAATGAGAGTTTCTGTGTCCAGGCAATAAAGTGGACAGAGGAGGACACCAAAAGTCTTCCTCTGGCCTCTGTGTGTATGCACACTATCCTCATGTGTATATATAACACAAACATAGCATACATACTATGTACACACCCTCAGAAAATGGTTTGTTTCGGCTCACAAGGGGATACAGTCCATCATTGTGGGGATGCACGGCAGTGTGAACAGTTCATCATAGTGGGCATGCATGGCAGTGTGAACATGAAGGGAATACAATCCATCATAGTGGACATGCATGAAGGGGATACAGTCCATCATACAGCAGTGTGAGCATGAAGGGGATGCAGTCTATCATAGCGGGGATGCATGAGGGGGATACAGTCTATCAGCGGGGATGCATGAAGGGGATACAGTCTATCATAGCGGGGATGCATGAGGGGGATACAGTCTATCATAGCGGGGATGCATGAAGGGGATACAGTCTATCATAGCGGGGATGCATGAAGGGGATACAGTCCATCATAGCGGGGATGCACAGCAGTGTGAACATGAAGGGGATACAGTCTATCATAGCAGGGATACACAGAAGTGTGAACATGAAGGGGATACCGTCCGTCATATAGCAATGTGAGCAGGAAGCGTGAGCTGAGAGGATAGAGTCTATCATTGCAGGGCTACACAGCAGTGTGAGAATGAAGTGACTGGTCATAATGCATCCTTAGTCAGAAGCAGAGAGAGATGAATGGTGGGGCTTAGCTTATTTTCTCCTTTTTATTCAGCTCAGGATCCCTCCAGCCCATGAAACAGCCCACCCACATTCACAGTGGGTCTTCCCTCTTCCGCTAACTCATAGTGGAAACACAGACACTCCCAGCCAAGTTGGCAAGGAAATTTGACCATCACACTAATGGTATACAAAATGGAGTCACTTTGCTTGCAATGGGGTTAAAGGAAAATTAAAGTAACTAAGTCTGAGAATGCTTTCAAGCAATTCATGATCACCTCCAGTATCATCAGCCCAAGGTCGCTGGAAAATGGGGATTTATTTGTGCAACAAGTATGGATCAATTATCTCACAGACCTCGTAGCTTAGCTATAAACCAGTCATGGTGGCCTGTACCTGTAACCCCAGGACTCAGAAGGAAGCCAGGGCAGGGACTTGGGTATGGCTCCATGGGTCAGGGCTTGTGCAAGCCTGAGGACCTGGTTCTATATCCCCACAACCCACATAACAGCCGGGTGTGATAGCTCATATCTGTAACTCCACCACCAGAAAGGGGGTCAGTCTGGCCAAAACAGCAAACTTCAGGTTTAGTGGAAGAACACTTCTCAGAAACTAAAGTAGGGGGCTGGAGACAGGCCTCAGTGATTAAGAACAATGATCACTCTTCCCAGCACCCACATGGTGGCTCACAATAGCTGGAAAGTTCAGCTCTAGGGGATCCCAGCACCCTTTTCTGGTTTCTGTGAACACTGCACACACGTGCTGCACAGATAGATATGCATGCAGCAGGTCAAACACACACACACACACACACACACATCAAATAAAAAAGAATATTTTAAATTAAAAAAAAGCTAAAGCTAATGTGGAGACCCACTGAGGGGGACACTCAGTGACCTCTAGCCTACATTACACTCACATGCGTGAGGTGTTCCCACACACAGACAGGCACATCCAACACACAGACTTAAAAAAGAACAGAGAGAAAAATGCATTTGCTACACTGAATAGCTTAGAGACACAGCATTGAGCCTTGGCTGTTCCCTTCACTACTCATGGGGCTCTCTAGGAGACAGCTGTGGCCACCTGCCACAAGGAAAAAAAATCACACAACCCAAGAAAAGTCAAAACCCACAACTGGAGTCAAGTTTCTAACTAACTGTATTGCTTTCACGTCGACTTTGCAAAGTTTCTAAAATATTGATTTGAGTCATCTCAGATCAGGGATCTTCATAGACACTGGACACTTCAGTGAAGGATGGAGATCCTGAGGGCACAAAAACAAGGCACCTGTGCTACCAGGAAGCTTCTGGACTCGTGTAGGAAAGTAGTTAACCCCATTCAAACCTGGGAGAAATGGTGGCTCAGTGGCTAAGAGCACATACTGCTCTTGCAGAAGACCAGGTTCAGTACCCAGCACCGGTGTCTGGCAGGCACAGTTGCCTGCAACTCAAGCTCCAAGGGTTCTGATGCCCTTTTCTGGCCTCCTCAGATACCTGCACCCTTGTGCACAGACACACACACAGGCATAGACAAAGACACACACATTGATAAAAAGTAAAATAAAATCGTAAGAAAAAAAAAAAAAAAAAAAGAAAGAAAGAAAGAAAGACCCAAGAGCCAAAAAGAGTTAACAAGTAGATGTTTGTATTGGGAAGGGGAGAAGAGACAAAGTTGAAAGGAAGGAAAAACCCTAGTCTGCAGCCCTTGTCAGTTTCTGTGACTAAACACTTCGTCCCTGGGACCAGTTTCTGCCAAAATTAGGATGCTGAGCGTATTTTGTCAAGAGATGCTGGTGATCAGCTCATGCACACAAACCCAGCCATCACACCTTGGGAGGGGAAACTTCCTCATTCCCTAGCAACGGGCGGTACAAGGTCTAGCAGAAGGCTTCCGACTATAATAAGCCCTAGCTCGGTGGTACTGGCTGTGCCTCCTCCAAGAATATCCAGGCGGCTGCAGAATTCTGGGCCTCTGTTGTATCCTCTGCCCTGCAGCAGGATGACAGATGGGTAAACAGAAATATTAGTGCCTGGTTAATGAATAACACAGACAGCAACTTAGAGTGTTACCAGGAAACAGGTGGAGGCAGCTGGAGCCCGAACTGTCAGAGAGGGGGTGACTATCACTGAGCCCCCAACTTCCCCTTTCAGCTCAGATGCCACCACACCCCCGCCTCTAAAACCTCCTCTGACCACAGCAGAACTCATGTAGAGTGTGGGCGTTTTGGTCCATTTCTGTGGTTGCCGAGGGCTGAGGGGGGGGCCATGATGCTCTGGAAGAGAACACACAGCAGTGTTTCATCTCCGCTGGCTTTGGCTCTCCTTCCTCTCAGCTCTGGGCCTCTGAGCACT